CAAATGTCACCGAAAAATTTGGTGCTGCTTTCTGATTCAGTGTTGAACTGATACAATCGAATTTTCTGATCATAAGCAGAACGCACGCTGCTCCCCGGTCGAACGCTCCATGGCGACTAAATTGTGCGTGTCACGAGCAATGCGGTTTTGAAATTCGTACGTCTTTCTGGTCCACCCCGTACCTATTGGGATACCCTTTATAACCTTCATAAATAAAAGCACTTTGTAGCTGAACGAAGCTTGTTGTATTGTTTATAAATACATTCTTTTTCAGGCTTCTGATGAATGCTTTATGACCATGCGAAAGTACAACGGACACCCGGCGTCCAAACATGGCAACGTTTTCACCTGCTACCACTGTGGCAAGGCTTTTTCGCGAAAGTCGACTTTGGTCAACCACGTGCAGTTCCATAGTAGATGGAAACCATACGTATGCCCGCATTGTGGCAGAAAATTTGCAGTGAAGGCGAGCTTCGTCAATCATATGCAAACTCACCGCACTGACAAACCATTTGACTGCCCAGAATGTGGTAAGAAGTTTGCAGTGAAGCAATACGTAACCAGACACATGCTGACACATTCAAGTGAAAAGCCTTTTGAATGCAAGGAATGCGGAGTGGCATTCAAAAGGAAGCAGGAGTTGAGGTGGCACATGAACATTCATACTGAAGATAAGGCTGACGATTGCAACGGGAGTGGTAAGGTATTTCCACAGAAGAATGACAAACCATTTGAGTGCCCAGAATGTGGTAAGAAGTTTGCACTGAAGCGATACGTAACCAGACACATGCTGACACATTCATGTGAACAGCCTTTTGAATGCAAGGAATGCGGAGCGGCATACAAACGGAAGAAGGATTTGAAGTACCACATGAAGGTTCATACTGAAGATAAGGCTTACGAATGCAACGAGTGTGGTCAGGTGTTTTCAGAGAAGAATTATTTAAAACAACATATGCAAAGCCACCCAAGAGGCAAGACTTTTGATTGTCCAGCATGTGGTCTGGTTTTCACAGAGGGATATTTTTTGGATGCACATATCGAAACCCACAGTGAGGACAGTTACTAGGATGTCAGTGATATTTTAGGACTTCTACAGCATTTCTCTCTCTCAACGTGAAGATGGCAGTACTCGTCAATAAAAGCTAGTGAATTTCTTTGTTCATTTGTCGTCAGTTAGTCACCAAAGTATCAGCAATTTTGGTCCCGCCCATTCCTAGGCCAACCCCTTTTCAATGATTTTCTCCGCAATGCCTCCCAGAGTCTGGAGGTTAAACAAATGTTCGCGGTTATTTTCTTGACTCTTTGGCGTTGAAACGTAGGCCGAAAGCTACCATTGGCGTACTCTTTTTGCTACTGCGGCAGCAGAATGCTGAAAAAATTCAAAATAAACTGCAAGCACATCGTGCGAGCGTCTTCTCGAAGTCGTTTCGGGGGACGCTTTTGTTTTTTTATTAAGCCCATTTTCATTCGCTTGGATTCCTCAAGAAACAAAACATGCGTTACTGGTCTAGCACAAATCCTCAAGAATTACATCAAAGGCCTTTGCATTCACCTGAAGTCACAGTGCAGCTAGAATTATTGGTCCCTGGTTCTTTAACGAAAATGCCGTCGCGGTGATAATCATCGGATCCTATAAGATTTGAAGACCGACATCCAGAAAGAAATTGCCAACATACCGCCTGTCATAAACACATTAAAATAGAACTCTGCCAACACCTTGTGGTTTCTAAAATATTGTATTGCATATCTATTTACTACCCATGTGTTGTGTTAGGCTGATTGAAGAATTGATGAAGTATGACCATGTAGCACATGTTTCTCAAAGTCGTGCTTGATTGAAAGTCCAGAGCCTTTTTTTCAAGTACAGTATCGTAAAAATGGTACATGCAATGTGACTACGGATGCATGTTTTACATATGGGAACTGGGGAGACTTGTATTCCGATGGCTGTTGAAGTCGAAGATGCCAAATTGGAATATCTTTTATTTTCCTCACCTGGACGCTGGTTTAACTGTGCTTTCTCAGTGACAAGTTCCAATCATATGTAGTAATAACCCATAATCATTGTAGATCGAAGAGTGAAGCAGTATGGATAAAAGAAGAGATTGAATCGTATGACTGTGATCAGTGCGATATGCAATTCGAGGACAAACTGGCTTTAAATAGACATAAAATAGGTCATAAATTTATGGCCTCAATGAATATGTCGTTAGAGTGCGAGTCCTGCGCGAAGCGCTTCGGATCTAAGATTGCATTGGAGTGTCATAGGAAAAGTCATCTGGAAGAATACGTTGCCAAATGTGAGGTACAGTGCGGTTTTATAATCATGGAGTCTATATACCATGAGAACCGGCAAAATGAGCAAAAAAACCCCAAACTTGACGACTAATTGAAGGCGCAGTGATCGAAGCGAGCTCCGGTTACTGCGCATGCGCAGGTTATAGTATGAGGTCAGACCAGATAAATAATAGTAGGCCACGAAACTTCCAGGAAAGTGTTTGCGATGGATGTCTTTTAAATTTTGCATATAGAAACATAGTAGGCCGCCTACAAAAGTCATCCGTTCTGGAAGTGTTTCGAAAAAGATGGTCGCGACATTTATGTTAAGAGCGGGTCATTTTGCAACAATTCATCTTAATGAGCAAAGAACTGTTAGTGCGGATTGGTATACCACCATTTGTTGCCAAAAGACATCACCGAGCTTCGAAAAATCAACCCCGAAAGAAGAATCATCCTCCACCAAAACAAAGCAAGCTCGCACATAGCCCAAAAAACAAGGCAGTATTTAACGGAAGAAAACGTGGAATTATTGGACCATCCTCCATATAGTCCCGATCTAAGTCCTAGCGATTTCTTTACTTTCCCGAAAATTAAAAACAGTCTGCGTGGTCAAAGGTTCCAGTCACCAGAAGGCATTCAAATATGCCATCTGCCAGCAAACGAATCGAATAAGTGCTTCGAAAATTGGTTCGAGCACATGCACATGTGTATTAATCTTCGTGGAGAATACTTCGAAAAACAATAAAGTCATTTAAAACTACCTACCGTTTTGTTTTATATCCATATGCTAAACTTAAAAGACATCCCTCGTATATGGCGAATCTGTCAAAGCACAGCATCGCCAGATGGGTCAGACAGAACAAGCACAAAAATCTCTCAAAATTGCTACTTTTTCAAAAAATCCCCTAAATAACAGTTAATAGAAAAGGGTAGGTTTGGTTCAAATAGCGGCGGGTGCTTTTAACTCGCGAAGCTTGTGATCTCCCCCAGAGGATTATATCCCCAGAAAACGCCTCAAATGTGAGAGAAAGTCCTTCAATCTGGCAACCAAAGCACCACTGGTACTCCAGGCGTCAAGTTTCGGGGTCGTTCTTACAGCTCGGACAGCACTGCCGTACTTTCTCCTGGTATATGGGCTCTATGTCTACAATCATGTAAAGCGGTGTCCCAATAAATACTTCGCGATTATTTTTTAGATAAAACAACAATTTTGGAAAAAAACATCATTCTCACTTATATTATCAGAACTTTGAAATATGGGAATTATGTTTTATAAGTAATATCTGTTTCTACACGGATCAATTTCATCGGAGCCTTCAGCCTCCTTAGACGGCGTATAGGCCATAGAACACCACTACAATCCCTTAGCCGCAAGCTCCGCCCTTCTAGCGAAATTTAGTATAGCCCTGAGTTCCAGCTCCTTAACATTCTGGGGATTCAAAGTGTTGGAGCCAGTGTAGTCAGCCTGCAGTAGCTCAGAGCCTATAGCGACACAGATCATGACTCCTCCTCAAACACCGCCATCATATGCAGGTAACGCCTCAACGAGTTATGGCCAGACAACAGCACCACCAAGGCGGTTGGCTGTATCCAAAGATAAGCAAAAGCGTCCATCCTTTGCCTGACGGAGATGTCTACAGATGCTTCTCCATTTCTGGCTCAGGACCAACCAGCTTGCACACTACTATCGTTAGTGTGCCTCGGTAGCCACACTGACGATACCGGATGCCTCGGTGCTAAACAATCCAGAGCCTCCCTGCATTGCAATACAAGGCAATACAAGGCTCATTGCAGCCTGACTGTCGAAGAAGATTGTCATTCTTCTTCTAGGCCCGTCCGCCTCTAAAATTCGGTGTACGCAAGCCAGAATCGCAAAGCCGCCTGGAAGATAGTGGTGTGTCCACCAAGAGGCAGAGATAGTCTGGTTCTAGGCCCAGAGACCCCGGCGCCGGAGCACTCTTCGGTGTCCGAGCCGTGCGTGCATTAGACCTCCAACTCCCTTCGGAGGCCCTCCGGAATTCCATTCCGCCCTTGTCGGATACTTCGTAATGAACTTCCACTTAAAGGTATGCTTCGGGGTGATCTGATCACCACAGCTCAGAAGGACGATTCGACTAATGATGCCGTGTGACCTTTGACAGGATTCATGGAGGTCCAGCTGCTCTAACTCCACAGTCCAAATGGTTCTGTTTTGTTTACCGATGGCATGTAGTCAAGTCGCTCAAAACAACAAATATCGAAGTACCTATTGAGACACCTCCAAAAATAAGAACATTTTGTACCTAGATGAAGTTTATGAATGTTTTCAGGTTTGTGGCAAAGGTTTTATGAGCAAGCAAGAGTGCACCGAACATATGCATTATAAACACAGCATCAACGCCTTCTCCTGTTACACTTGCGGCAAGACTTTTCCGAGAAAATCGAATTTAATCAACCACACGCGGTCCCATAGTGGAGAGAGACCGTACATTTGCCAACATTGTGGCAGAGGATTTAGGACAAAGTCAAACTTGAATAGTCATGGAACGACTCACACTGCAAAAAGTACCTTAGAGTGCAAAGACTGCTCGAAGACGTTCAGGCTTAAGGCTTCTTTCATAAAACATATGCAGATTCATACTGGTGACACTCATCAGGACGAGCCTAGCGACATTAGTCCGTACGATTGCAAAGAGTGCGGTAAACAGTTTGCTAAGAAGAGATACCTAACGTCCCACATGAGGATACACACCGGCGACAAGCCATATGCTTGCACAAAATGTGATAGAAGGTTCGCGCACAGGACTGCTTCAATCGTGCATATGCAATCGCACACCGCTGATAAACCATTTGACTGCCCAAAATGTGACAAGTCGTTCGGATTGAAGCACTACTTAGCGAAGCATCTGCGGACCCATACTGGAGAGAAGCTATATAAGTGCAAAGAGTGTAACAAAGCTTATACAGCAAGGTCTACCTTGAAAGTACACATGCGGAACCACACCGGCGAAAGACCGTATGAATGCAAGCCGTGCGGAAAGGCATACAAACAGAGGAACGGCTTGATACAGCACATGAAGGCTCATACTCGTGTACAAGATTGTAACGAGTGCGGTCGGGTATTTCACAAGAAGAATCTCTTGGATTTACATATGCAAAGCCATACTGAAGACGAGACTTATGATTGCGGAGAATGTGGCGTTGTTTTCACGGAGAAGTCTTTATTAACTGCGCATATGCAAACTCATACTGAGGACAGTTCGTGATTTTTTAGACTTTCATATTTATCGGTCAATATACTTGGAATGTTTTACGATAGCAAACTAGGCTTGATCAATTGAAATCCATCTTTGGCCCAGAAAAAATTTAATGGCAAATGTATCTACAAGTAATTACCACTACAGTTAAGGCACATATCCCATTGTTTCACCAATCGATGTATACCCCGCTTAAAGAATTCTTGTGGCTGCTGCTTGAACAATTCTTGTACGGCATTTTGTACTTCTTCTTCCGACTGAAAATGCTTACCTTTCAACGCCATTTTCAGTATCCCAAAGATGTGAAAATAGGCGATAAATCGTGACCATAGGGTGGATGCTCTAATATCCTCCCATTTATTTCGTTGTAGATTTTCTTTCACCAGTCTGGCAACATGACGCCGAGCATTGTCGTGCGTTTTGATCTTATTGCTTGATGGAGATTGTTTAGATTTTCATGATATAGGTTTGCGTTGACATGGACTCAATGTTCTTTACACTCTATGAGCAAAGGACCTTCATGGTCGAAAAAAAAATGTTGGACCTTTGCTCTTGGTCGGCTATTCCAATACCTCGTCCACTGCACTTTGCAGCCTGTCCTGAAATATATCCCCAGAGAACGACTGGTCCACCAGGGCAGTGTCATCAGCATAGAGATAGATTTCACAGGAGCAAGGCACATCATGAATAAAGAGTGAATAAAGGACTGGTCCGAGAACCGAACCCTGAGGGCACCGGCTTTAATGGGCCGTGTTTTGTTATTAATTTTGATCCGAAATTTCCTGCCCTCGAGGAAGGATTTCAACAGTTTTAGGAGCCAGAAGGGGAAGCCCTTATGGACAATTTGTAGAGAAGGCCCTTGTGCCACACCTTGTCAAACGCCTTTGAGACATCCAGAAGCAAGATGCCAGTAGCTCCGTACTATGCTCAGACCGAAAGCCAAATTGCACGTCAGGAATCACATTGTGGTCTGCCGAGAAATTTTCAAGGTGACGTAGAATCACCTTTTCAGACTAATGGGGCGGTAATCCTGGGGGAATGTCGAACCCACCTTCTTTGGAATCATTATGACATCAGCGGTCTTCCACGCCGTTGGGAAGTGCTGGGTCCTTAGCATGGCATTGATTATTGCCACGAGGTAAGTTAAGGACTTCCGCGAAAGTAGCTTCAGCGCCGTATTAGTGATTCGATCCTCTCCAGGTGATTTACGCACCTTGAGGTCTTTAATATGACCTTGGAGCTTTGCTGATGTGCCATGCAGCTCTTCAGTTGAGGAATCTTCTGAAAATTCCTCTGAGGAAAGATCATTAAGGGATGCACTACTGCCACTGACGGCGTTGGCCCTAAAATATCTTCTGACGGATCTTACAATGTGATTCTCCTCTTCAAGGTCATAGTTGGGAGAGAACTGACTTTCCATTGCATCAGGGAAACCTCGACCTTTTCCTCTATCCTGCAGACTATGCTCCTAGGGCCGTGGATGTGCGGGAGTTATTCTCGCTTTCCGTTTCTGGGCGACTTTGCAACTTTCCAGAGAGGAATACTTGAGTCAAGCATCCCCGACAGAAAGTCGCTCCATTGCTCATTAAGGAATTCGTGAAGAACATTTCTCACTTCATGAACAAGATTCGTTGCTCTGTGAATCTCATCTGGGTGACAAGACCTTTTCACTTGCTTAATTGCGGCTCTTTTGTCAGAAATTTTCATCGATGACAGCTACTGGATGGTTCGAAATAATGACACCAAGATTCGTCGCAGGCAATTATTGACGAAAGAAAGTCATTACAGTTTTGCTTGTATTCCGGGAGATGTTGCAAAGGTAAGCCAAATCGCAAGCTTTTTTGGTCCTCTGACAAAAGGCGAGAAACCCATCGCGCACAAGCTTTGCTGCAACCCCATTTGTGTACGATACTATGGACAGTTCCTATACTCACACCAACATTTTCTGAAATTGCTCTGATTGAAATTCGACGATTTTCTCTAAGCATGCCACATTCCTGTCTGTTGATGCACCTGGTCGCGGCTTATCGTTCGTTTCCTCTCTTTCACTCTTAAGTTTTCAACACCACTCCTTGACGGTTAGATTCGCAAGACATGCGTTTCCGTACACTCTTTGCATTCACGTAACAATTTGCAGTGTCTGCAAACCTTCAGCGCGCACAAATTGAATGACCGCTCGCTGATTATATTTATACGGATTGTTAACATTTTCAGGTCATAAAACTTAAAGTCGCAGTCAAATACAAATAACAGGAACTGATCAGTGTGACGTTTAAAAACACAACTATTATTGCAAAACGTCAGTTAAGTGATTAGAATTATTTTCAAGGCTGACCTGACCAAAGATGGGTTTCAATGAAACAAGCTCCGTAGATAGTAATCTGTATTCAAGTTTTATCATCTTTTGTTGACATAAAGTGCGAAGGCAAGAAAACTTATATGAAATCACTTAATGGATTATTTTACAAAATAAACGTTATATACGACTTTGAAGTTGAGTCATTAATTTTCAGATAATGATTGTAGAAGGAAGATAAACCAAAATATGTGTGTAAAAATAAAAAAAATGTTTACCTTGTTTTATAAAGTATCCTCCCGATAAGTATTTCAGTGCGGACATGTATTTGATCGTGAGGTCTTGGAGCACCGGCATGCGGTCCCCTGTGAGGTCTTAAGTCACCTGATTCACGAGCCCGTTGTACTACATTAACAAAGGCACGAGGGGTTGGTTGCACTCGATTGGGAAACCGATCCGCATAAACATGTGCCATTGTTTATTTCGTTTGAGCCACGCAACAGACACCACTATTCACTCACGCGTTACCGACTGACAACTGAATAAAATAATTGTAAAAACATCGTTCCAAATTCTTTCGCTTTTTTGTTTCCGATGCGATGAACCGATAAGGCGGATTATATCCGTTATTGCCAAACACGAGCACATAATATTATTATTGAGACAGGGCTGTACTCAAACTTCCAAAGGGCTATAACTTTGTTACTTTAATTTTACCAGAAAAATGGTAAAGGAAAAAAACATTTCTTTTGATCAGATCTACTCACTGTTAAAATAAATGACTCAACTTCGAAGTCACCCTGTATAAATACAAATAGCTGATTGAAAGTAGGCAAAATAGTACATTATACTGGAGTTATTTTCTAACAAAGGTGATCTGTGATGGTCCCAACTATAGACAGATGAAGTCCAAGCAACTTCACTGTCTGACATTGCTTAATTGATCCTTCTTGCGATTTAATTAGTAGGATGTGATCTAGCTTATTGCTTTGTAGATCACTTGACATGAAAAGCCAACACTGTATTCCGGGGTACGAAAACAGCGGTGAAATATTGTGACGCCATCTATGAAAACATAGCAAAACACAACAAAAATTCAGAAATCCAGTTTGAAAAGAGTTAGTGTTTGGTTCTGCTTTCTCTCATAGATGATGCTAGGGTCTTCAATCCCCTTTTTGGTCACTTCAATGACCATGGCATACAATCCTCGAGAAAGTGATGCCAAATTTAAATCCCGAATTATAGAGTTTTCGCGTATAGATCTTGAAACAATAAGCGGTTTTTTAGATAAGCGAGGTATAATGCTTCACAAAATCAACCAAACCCAATCCGCTCCCGTATCTCGATCAGATCGAAGGTAAGGAGGCATGACGCATATCAGTACTCAACCCAAGCGTCGGCAAGGTATTCAAAACAAACGGGTAGACGGATTAAATTACCTATACTTTCTACGAAACATTGTACCAACGGCTACAACTTCGAACAGTACTTATACGTGACATAGCTGTAATTGAAGTTTCTCTGCGAATGAACGGTAAGTACTTTTACCAGACATTAGCTGTGCTATTTCAAACGTAGTTATTTTCTGAAAAGTAAAGTCGTACCTTTTAGATCACCCATATTGGGACACTTTTTACTTTACTCGTTTGTAGTATTCTTTATATAAATTTTCCAGGGGTGGAATAAGAGAGAATCTGGATCCCCCTCCCTGAAACTCGCTCTTTAATTTCGAATTACCGATGTAGTCGAAAGCTATGGCCCAAATCCAACCCGACCATGGCTCAACAGCCCGAAAAACCTAAATGACAGCCTTCATTCCTCAAAAAAATGTTTGCTAGTCATGTCCCTGAAATCGATAATCATTGTAGATTGACGAAGAGTGAAACCGAGTGGATAACAGAGGGAAAGGAATTATGTGATTGCGATCAGTGTCACATGCAATTTGAGGACCAACTGGCTTTAAAGAAGCATCTGATAAGTCATAAACTGATGGCCTTAATGAGCAAGTCCCCCGACCGCGATTTTGACACGGAAAGCTTTGGATCTAAGGATGCTCTGGACCACAGTGAAAGACATCTGAAAGAGTGCATTGCCGAATGTGAGGTACGTAGTACTGTCATATGTCTAGCTAAAAAATTCTGCTATAATTTATACTCAGTGACATCAAAAGTGTTACACCCAGAAAAAATAATTTCAACTTCTTTTTTGGCAAGATAATGACTTTATCTAAAGCATGATGTGACAACAATGTCAACACTTTATCTTGTTTACCGTTGTTAAAATTTTATCTCTTAGTTTTTGTCAAGAAAGCAGTTTCTGAGAGCTGAGTAGTAAAGATGTTTTTAGTTATTGCCCTTTCATTTACTAGTATTAAGCATAACAAAATGCCTCGAGTTAGAAGACGTCCAAAGTATCACCATGTTAGCGATTTGACAGGGATAGAATTATTGCCTATCGAGATGTTGCTTTGCCCTATCGGAAATTGCCGCCGTGTTAATTGACGGCAATGCGTGTGTGTCGTGTGTGGATAGAAGAAGGTAGAGGAACACGAAGAAACCTAACGCACCGCAGAGCGTGATGGTAGGCGCTTCAGATAACTAGCCCAACTGAACCAATGGTTTGGTCAAGTTAAAGAAACTATTTGTTCTGGCTGTATCACTTCTATGTCACTCGGAGCGCTGACATATTCACTTGTTGCCTGTTGAACACCTAAATCTGTTTGTTATACTTCATCTTGGATTTGAATATGGTTTATATGAACTTTGTCACAGTATTTATTAGTACCATAATCTCTTTTTTAGGTTTGTGGCGAGGGCTTTGTGACCAAGCGAGAGCACACCGAACACATATCTTCTAAACACGGCAACAATGTACGAACCCACAACGAAAACTATTCCAAAACCAAGCAGTTCAAGTGTTCCCAGTGCGACAGAAGCTTCGTCCTAAAGAGATACCTTACAGGTCACATCCTCAGGATGCACAAAGATGGCGGAAGAAAGTTCTCGTGTGACGTGTATGGCAAGAAAGTCACGTCCAAAGAAAAACTCAGAGATAGTGGAGGAGTTGAACCATTACGATGTGCTCGTTGTGATCAGTCATTTACAGACAGTGATTCTCTGAAGGTCCATATGGTGACCCACACCGACGCAAGAGTTTATGAATGCAAAGAATGTTCCAAGACGTTTCCGCTTGAGGGTTCTTTGAAAAAACACATGCAAATTCATACGGGAGAAGAATCTAACAATACCCAAAAAGCGCCCACTGACAATAGATCGTATGATTGCGAAACATGCGACGAAACATTTTCTCATTTGACCAGCTTAAGAACTCACATGAGGATGCACACTGGGGCCGAACCATATGCTTGCACAGAATGTGATAGAACATTCTCGCTGAGAACTCCTTTGATCCTGCATATGCAGACCCACGCCACCGACAAACAATTCGACTGTCCGGAATGTGGTAAGATATTTCCGCTGGAACATTTCTTAACAATTCACATGCGAATCCATACCGGAGCAAAACCGCATAAATGCAAAGAGTGTGGCAAGGGATTCCACAAAAGGTCAGCTTTGACCCATCATATACGGAGACACACTGACAAAAGACCGTTCGAATGCAAAGTATGTGGAAAGACGTACAAAGAGAAGAGAGGGTTGATACATCACATGAAGGTTCACACTGAGGATAAGACTTACGATTGCAACGAGTGCGGTCAAGTATTTTCAGAGAAGAGCTTTTTGGATTCACATATGCAAAGCCATGTCACGTACACGACTTACGATTGCGAGGAGTGTGGCGTTGTTTTTACGGAGAAGTCTTTATTAACTGCGCATATGCAAACTCATACTGAGGACAGTTCGTAGGATGTCAGTGATTTCTTAGACTTTCGTATTTATCGCTCAGTATACTTGGAATGTTTTACGATTAGATATGACACAGCAAACTAGGCTTGTTCAATTAAAATCCATCTTTGGCCCAGAAAAAATTTAATGAAAAATGTATCTACAAGTAATTACCACTACAGTTAATTGGTTATTTTTGGACTTCTATGGAATTATTTAACTATCCTCGAGTTGTGTTATACAGGGTGGCCGATATGTAACTGACTGGTTTGTATCTTGAATATTGAAATGCAATATTGTCGGCGATGTAGTTCTTGGGTTAACTAAATAGGGCATAATGACGTTCGACGAACACCCACTTCTTGAGAACGATGTCTGGTAGACGTCTCAGGGCGCTCCACTACTTTTTCACGTTCCATAGTACGAACAGTCTTCACCTGTTTGTTAAAATTTCCGCACCAACCGACGAATGATATTGACGTTGAGCACCTCATTTCGACCGAAATCTTGTCGCAGCTGCCGAACCATTACAACAATCGGCTCATTATTTAAGTAAAACGTTTAACAATACGGACGCATTGTGGGATCGTGTAGCGCTTCATGATGAATTGGACAATGACGCGCAATCTAAATCAGTCAGTTATACAGGGTTATCCAAATTAAGTGTCCACCATTAGTAACTTTGTTATTAGTGAAAATACAAAGTTGTTTGAATTAGCAAACTAGTAGCATTTTTAACGCTGGTAAAAATGAGAAATAAAAAAAACAATTGAGAGCCGTTATTTTGATTTTTTTCAGTAAAATAACATTTTTTTAAATGAAAACCCCTGTATATTATATTTTTTTCTGTTAAAGCATCAAATTTTAAACAAAAAAGTTCATAATGACTTTTCCGCTAAAGTCAAAAATAAAGTCAAAATGACGATAAATATTTTTAATTATTTGCAGTATTATAATATTAAGACGGCTATGAAAACAACATGGCGTTCGCGATTTGACAGCATTAAGATAAGCGACAAATTGTTAAACTGGACATACTCGCAACTAGGAGGCTTTGGAAAACAATGATAAAATCAAATAATGTCAAACATTAGTGTAAATACTTGTTTATAAGCTTTATTGTGTCATTAATTTAAAGAAAAATGTTCTCCCATGAAGAAAAGTGTGATATGTTAGAATGCTATTTAGTGTGCAGAAAATCCTCCTTGAGAGCAAGAGAATACTACAGTGAATTATATCCCGCTCGCATTCAACCGTATGAACGATATTTTCTGAGACTTTATCGAAAATTTAGGGGCAACGAAAATGTTTTTGCTAAAACAAGGGCAAAAAAAGAATTCATAATAAGCGAGGCCACGGAAATTGCAGTTATTGGATATTTTGAAGCTTATCGTGAGAATTCAATAGCAGATATTCTCAAGGACTCTAATTTCAGTTATGGTACTGTTCAAAGGATTTTAAAAAAATACAAATTTATTCCGTATAAGTACCGACCAGTTCAAACGCTTTTGGCAGGGGATCCAGAGAGAAGACTTGTTTTTTGCCATTGGTATCTTAGCTTCTGTCGCCAACATGTAAATAACTTTCGTTACCTTTTATGGACAGATGAATCAAATTTTTCAAATTCTGGAATGTTTAATAGAAAAAACCACCATTATTGGTCAAGAGAAAATCTTTTGTTAGTACATCCAAGAGGCCCACAAGTCCGTTTCAGTTTCAACGTTTGGTGCGGTATAATTGGTTCAAAAATTGTTGGCCCGTTCTTTTATGAGGGAACCCTAACTGGTGAAAGATATGTGGAATTTATGTCAGAAATTCTGACTAATTTCTTAGACGAATTGGATCTTATAAGTAGACATCATCTGCATTTTCAGCAAGATGGCGCACCTGCCCACAACTCCAGAGGTACTTATCATTTTCTAAGTACTACTTTTAATGATCAGTGGATAGGAACAAATGGCCCAATACAGTGGTCTCCCAGATCACCAGATCTAAACCCACTTGATTACTTCTTGTGGGGTTACTTAAAGAACCAAATTTACAAGCGAAGGTACGATAACCTTGACGCGTTAAAGACTGCAGTTAGGGAAAAGATAACCCAGATAGATGGTAGGACCATACTTAAGACAGTTCGAGCAGTTGAAAAACGTGCCCAAAAATGTATTGAAGAACAAGGTGGTGTTTTCGAGCATCTTCTTTAAAAAAAATTGTTATTGTATTTTGTAAGATTATAAGTTGATGTTGAAAATAAAGTTTGTCGATACAATTTAATTGTTTCAGATTGGAGGCCATAACTTCAACAATTTGTAACCTAGGAGAAAAGTTATTGTAAGCTTTTTTGTTTAAAATTTGATGCTTTAACAGAAAAAAATATAATATACAGGGGTTTCCATTTAAAAAAATGTTATTTTACTGAAAAAAATCAAAATAACGACTCTCAATTGTTTTTTTTTTATTTCTCATTTTTACCAGCGTAAAAAATGCTACTAGTTTGCTAATTCAAACAACTTTGTATTTTCACTAATAACAAAGTTACTAATGGTGGACACTTAATTTGGATAACCCTGTATATTGGCCACCCTGTGTTTATAAACAAATGTATACATAACTTGAAAAACATATGTTCGTTATTGGAATTAGTCATTAAAACATACAATTTCCAAGTTTTTATCCACTTTTATTCTGTAAAATAACATACAACACATAATAAGCATAACAATAGATGACATTTAAAAAATCGCATCAAGTCTTTTGATAGGAACCTATACAGTCTGTTCCTATGTTCGCCGTTTAAAAGATTTTGCATCCAATTCAAGTTCATAGTTTGCAATAGTTCCAAATGCTTTATAAAATAGATCAACACAAAATATTTTCGAAGATATTCAACTCACAACATATACAACATACAAAATATTTACAAATGTACGAGTATTATTATAAAATATAGTCTCGTCAGATCTACACCATCCTTGGCAGACCAAACAAGTTGAGCCGCGCCATCTGGGATGATGAGTATCAACTATAGACATTAGTTTTCGGTGCAATCATCAGATGTCGCTCAAAGCAGTCCTTCAAACTGAATTGGTTATTTGTTTCCATCTGTTTATAGCTGTCAGAAATTCGTTTTTAGAACAAGCCTAATCTATCGTATTGTTTCTTGATAACTACGAGATGAATTAGCGCAACTTTTTATCCGATTTAGGATTGTCCAAGCAGCCAGAATCTATTGTTACGAGTGAAATGTCCACTGTCCAGATATTTATGATAATTGTTAAGCCAGATATTTCATTTAAAAGTGTCAATATTTAATAAATCATAAAACATTTTGATGGTTGGTGTATCTCCATTTTTCTCCGTTATAACCTAACTTTTCCAGGAAAATTACACTGGACAACAAATTTTAGTTTTTTAATTGTATCTTGTGGGAAAAGTGCACTTCTTTGTTAATTTTGGGGCGCTGAATCCAAAAATGACAATGAAATAAAAAAATTTGTTGCGGTTTAGAAAAAAAACTTTTTATTTTTAAGGATATATTAAAAAAAGTAACAAGATTCATATACTTATAGGAATCACTATATGCGCTGTCTTTTTGCTGTCCTTTTATGGATCGTTTCTGGAGCATCTCTACCAAGAGTCCAACAGTAGTCTGCAAGCATGGAAGGATTCCACTTTCCCTGGTACGTTTTTTCCATTGTTGAAATATCGTGATGAAAATGTTCGCCGTGCTCATCACTTACGGCTCCGCAATTGTCAGAAAAAAGTCCAGGTGTGAGTGTAGGAAATGTATCTTAAGAGACATATTACAGCCCATCTTTTGATACGATGACAGCATATTTTTGACAAGGGTTTTATAGTTGTCAGCTTTTCTATTTCCCAAGAAATTAGAGACCACCAGACGTAAATCATTCCAAGCAGTTTTTTCAATACCTGTTAAAGTGTTTTTAAACTGTGTATCTTTCAAAATATTTCGAATCTGTGGCCAAACAAAAATACCTTCTTTAACCTTTGCCTCACTTAGTCTTGGAAATTTCTGACGCAGGTATTGAAAAGCTGACCCATCTCTATCTAATGCCTTGACAAAGTTTTTCATTAGGCCCAACTTGATATGCAGTGGTGGTAATAAATTTTTTTTCGAATCTACTAATGGCATATGCTGTACATTTTTTTGACCTGGCTCTAGGAATAGACGAACAGGCCAGTTTTGTCTGGTGTAATGAAGTGCCGTTGCCCGACTGTCCCATTCACACAAAAAACAGCAAAACTTTGTGTAGCCTAGCTGCAGCCCAAGTAAAAGTGCAACAACTTTCAAATCGCCACAAATATGCCATTGGTGCTCATCGTATTTTATGCATGTCAATAGGTACTTCATATTGTCATAGATTCTTTCATGTGAACTGTATACCCTACAGGAAGAGATGGTAAAATATTTCCAATATGCAATAACACTGCCTTTAAACTCAATGTTGAACTGTCTATAAACAATCTCCATTCTTCTGGGTTATAGTTTATATTTAAAGCCGCCAGTAAGCCGTCAATGTTACTGCAGAAAACGAAGTTATTCTCCATATTGAAAAATGGTCCTAAGTCTTTGTGGCGTTTACGAAAAACACATACCGAAACATCGTCTTCTAACAAGTTCCACTGCTGCAGTCTTGATCCAAGTAACTCTGCCTTACATTTTGGAAGTTCTTAAATCATTTAATTCTGACTGTGTTATTTTGTGCGGTTGGTGGCATGAA